AATCACCCATGCGGGAAAAGGATCTAACGACGAGAAAAAAATAAGAGCCAGAAGATTCACAAAAAAAATCCTCAAAGAAGACAATTCCGAAGAAATAATTGAACTAAACACCGTCCTGTTGTACTTTATCACAGGGAAAGCCCCGACTCGCAACGGACTACGTATTCGTACAGAACAATACATTGAACCAGTGGTTCCATGTAGAAACTGTTTGGCATATGGAAACTAAAAATCCCAATGCCGCTCCACTACCAAATGCCTGAAATGCGGAAGCACTGACCATATTCTAGAGACATGCAACGGGGAAAAACCAACTTGCACAAATTGTAAAGGAGAACACAACACAAAGGACAAAAATTGCCCCAAATACAAAGAACAAAGAAGAATACAGACAACCATGACCAAAGAAAGCACAACCTTAGAGACTACCATACAACATACCATTGACCAATACGACCTCCAAGGTAAAAAGCACAAGAACAATAACACGAGCAATAAAAACTTTTTTCGAATCGATGAATGAAGAACCTGACGTCATACAACTAAATGCAGAAACCACCAATAGGATTACACACTTTATGTACCTTATCATTAGGGATGGGATTTTAGTTATTTTACCTTTTTTCAACCAATAATGCCAAAATGTGTTTTAAAACATTTTCTTTTATATGAACCTAACTTGTTTTCACCTTTTTTACCTTTTTTGAGGTTTTTGCTTTAAACTTACCTTTTTTTTATACTTTTGTTACCTATTTTTTAACTTGTTTTCACCTTTTTTACCTTTTTTGGAGGTTTTTGCTTTAAACTACCTTTTTATACTTTTGTTACATATTTTTTAATTTGTCAGTTTATTTTCACCTATTTTTACGTATTCTAATTTATTTTATTTTTTACCTACAGTTACCTTCTTTCTAGTGAGCTTATGCTGTCATAGAACTTCTGTGTAGTGAGTGTCACTCAGTGAAACACAGTTTATTGCATAGAAATAGTTTATTGTGGGTATGTTCTGTGTTTGGGTATGCGGCTAAACAAAATTATAAAAAATGCCCAAAACCAAAGAAAATCCTCTAAATAAACTCAGCAGTTGGGTAGAGGGAAAGAATAAGATATTTTCTATTGACGAAAAAAAAAATTGTAAGGACTTTGAGGTTATGTTAAAACATCTTTCTTTAATTTATATACATTTTAGCTATCTATCTGTTTGTTACTCTAGTAGTAAATTTGGTAAATATCAGGTATTCTCTGTTATATTTTCAGTTCCTTATAGCTTTAATTAACAGTCAGTTTATAAAAAAATATTTTATGTTACTTATTTTATAAAAATAAATGAAACTTGAATTTTTCATGTTTTTTTTACCTAAAATTCTGTTTTTTTTTACCTAAAATGCTGTTTTTTTTAACCTAAAATGCTTTTTTTTAGTACCTTTTTAGTTACCTATTTTTCAGTTTTTAGTACCTAAATATCCCATCTTTACTTATCATAGAACTACTTGTTAACAATCACTCAAATAACTCACCAAACTCGACTAAGGACACAGTAACCCACCAAAACATATCCAACCAGAACATTCAATAATTACATAAATATAATTCAATGGTACAGCATAAACAACAAGTGGGCAGAAATAAAACAACAAAATTCATATAGCAACTATATGCGAAACCTGGCTCAAACCCAGTGACAAGCTATCCCTTAAAAACTACGTCCTGATAAGGAATGATCGTAATGTCGGCCATGGAGGACTATAGTATACTTATTGCCATACACCGAAGTATTACGTACAAATTAATTAATCAAACTAACAATCACAATATACAAACAGTGGAAATAAATAACAAATACACACTACAGCATATATACATCCCACCAAATCAAAAAGTAGAAAAAAAACAATATCAAAAATTTATTCGGCTCAACTACAAACAAATCGTGTATAATTACAGGAGACCTAAATGGACATAACCCTCTATGGGGATCTAACTACACAAACCAAAGAGGAAAATACGTGGAAGAAATAATAAACGAAGAAAATCTTTTTGTACATAATGACGGAAGCCCCACGAGAATCCAAAAACCTAATTAAAATATTTCTTATATCGACCTAACCCTAAGTACCCGGACAACAATCGGGATTTCCTGGTGAAGTCATGATGATATCACAACGTGATTTTTTTATCACGCTGTGATATCCTGAGTGCATACACATGCTTTATCACAGTGATATCATGTAGAACTCACGGTGTGATATTTGCAAAATTTGCGCATGCGTATGAGCCCTGCGAACTGCAAATTTAAAACCTACCCGGACAACATTCGTGATGTTAATACGAACATCACGTCGTGATTTTCACAAATTTTATTCATACTGATATCATACGGAAATCACCGCGTAATAAATGAAAATCATACGAACGTCACGTCGTGATTTTCACAAATTTTATTCATACGGACATCATCCGGATGTCACTGCGTGAGAAATAAAAATCATGTCGTGATTTTTTATGCCATCGCTGTTTGCGATTGACCGATGGCACAAAAAATCATGTCGTGATTTTTTATGCCAACGGTGTTTGGATAATCATTTTTGCGCCACGTTCGTACAGTAAGAGAAAAATTATGTTAAATCAACAATTTTTGCGGTTAAATACATTTAATATTTTCTTGGATTTAAATTAACTATATGTATATAATTAATTTAAATCCAAGAAAATATTGAATGTTAAACTGTTGATTCAATTGTTAACATACTTTTTCTTTCATTTTTGCGACACATTCGTACATTGCAATGTACGAATGTGTCCCAACACCGATGGCATAAAAAATCATGTCGTGATTTTTTATACCATCGGTGTGGATATTTATTTTTGCGCCACATTCGTACATTGAGAGAAAAAGTATACCTACATACATATATGTATATTGAATCAACAGTTTTTGTGGTTAAATATATTCAATATTTTTTTGGATTTAAATTAATAGTTAATTTACATCCAAGAAAATATTGAATGTATTTAACCGCAAAAACTGTTAATTCAATTGTTAACATACATTTTCTCACAATGTACGAATGTGGCGCAAAAATAAATATCCAAACATGTCGGTGCACCGATGGCATAAAAAATCATGTCGTGATTTTTGGTGAATTTTGGGTATACCGATATCTCAATTATAAGATATGGGAACCACACCAAATTTATATGAGTTTAAAATGATGACATTAAATAAACAAGTTCTGCGCAAGCAGAATTTAAATTGAAGTTTGCGAAAAAAAGACTGACGACACGGTACTGATGAATGGGATACAAATTTGAGATTATAATTCGGAATTAAGTATTTTACTGATTTTTTTTATTAGTGGATGCTACTTATCAACAAATCACATATAACCTTATATAAATTACAATGAAATATATACGTGAGAAAATAACTACTCACCACAGTACTGAAATTTTGACTGGAACTATACGTGCATTCACCACAACTTCGCCCCTTGCATTGTTTTCAAGATGTATATATACAAAGCAAGAACCCTACAGAAAATAAACTACGGAATACTCAACTATGGAACACAATTAACCAAAAAACAAATAAAAAAAAATAACTACAATGCAAAATGAATGCCTAAGAATATGCCTAGGTACACTAAACTCCACCCCATACACGTTCTGAACAACGAAACTGCTATGACCCCAATCAAAATACATTTAGAACAACAAATACAAACGACCTTTATTAGATTGTGGGCAATCTACAGCCACACAGAAAATAAAATAAACACTAAATCAAATCATATTGGCAAATAAATACTGGAGCAAAACCAAAATACCCTTGGATATACTCGCATACCGAGAATATAAAGAAGCCCTTGATCATGTCAATAACACCTACCCACCAAACGACTTTCCATTATATAGAAAACCACTAAATATAACAACCAACATACCCAACATCAAATCCAAGACAGAAGACAATACTCAAAGCAGAAACTCTAAGAATGATTGGCACAAAATACAAAGACCACGAAAAAATATACACTGACGGATTCAAAAAAAAACGAATACACTGCAGCTGCAGCAGTAATTCCAACTCTGAATGAAATAAAAGGTATTAAAATACAGCTGAACTAACAGGGATCCTTATGGCCCTACAACTAATGGAAAACAAAAACACAAAAACCTATGTTATCTTAACAGACTCTAAAGCAGCCCTACAAACGCTTAAAAAAATTAACACACTAAAAAACAAACACCCGAAGAGATATACACGAAAATCACTAACAACAGGGGCATAAACATCAAGCTTTAATGGATACCTGGACAAATCAACATCCCAGGCAACGAAATGGCAGATGCGGCTACCAAAGAAGTGTCACACCCAATAAGTCACGTAAAAATACCTCATAGAGAATTAACGCAAATTATTAGACACAAAACAATAAAATAGTGGAACCATGAGTACAACAATGAAATAAGAACAAAAGGAAAATGGTACCGGAAAATCCAATCAAGTATTCAGTTAATACCATGGTTCTACAATACAAACCTTAAAAGACAAGCCACAAAAAAAATAATTCGATACAGAACTGGACACGGCCTCCTAAACGAATAAAAATACTTATTCAAACTCATAGTTAACCCAGACTGTACAACCTGCGAGGTACCCGAGACGGTGGAACATGTTCTGCTCAACTGCAAAAAGACAACAAACCGAAAAAGACACTGGAAGCAACATTATGGATCTACTGAAAAACATAGACCACACCTATAAAAAATTAAAGTTTCTTTTGAACAAAGTTCCCAACTTGTAAAAGTTGGTTGCATTGCCTTAGGCTAAAACCTTGTTTAGTCATATGATGTATTACTGCACTAAAATGAATAAACTAATTTTGTCAAGTCACCTTGGTTAGGATTTGTAAATATTGTATATATATAAAATAAACTACACGTTTAATTAAAACAATTTTATCTAACCATTTAAGCTAAAGCTAAAAAACTTTTAGACCTGCTGAACTACAATTTTACACAAGTGTAGCCAGTATAGTAGTACAAATTCCTGCCACCCTTTTACTGGTTGATATAGGACTAACTGGAAAATTGGAACTGAAGTTACTTTTCTGTTTTGTCTTGAATGGAATTTTCTTTCATTTCCAAAGCATAACGGCTTATGTACTCATGGACTACATCAGTCCAGTTACCCATAGGTATGTTCTCTTAATTTTTAATATTAATTTATTTTATTCTTTTTGAAAAATAAGTCATTACAATTTGGTTTTGCAGTATAAAATAAAATTGTAAACTATTAATGGCCGCGATTTGCTGTCTAACAGAGTCTTGTAGATATTCCAGACTAGACTCGACGCGAATTTTTAACTTGTACTGTTGACTTATTGACCTTGCAACCTTAATTATATTTTTAATTGTAATTTCAGTGTTGTCAATACTGCCAAAAGGGCGTTCCTCATATGGCTGTCCGTACTTATGTTTGGCAACGCCATAACGTTACTAAGTGGACTTGGTACCATAATTGTGATAGCAGGCGTTTTCATGTATATAAAAGCTCAAGAATACGACAACAGGATAAACAGTGCAAATATATTGCAAAGAAAAGTTCGGGCGATCTAGGAAATTATTTAGATTAAATTAATAAATACTTTTGTACCTTAATTTTTAATTTGGCATTTATTAAGTAATAAAGAACAGGCGCAACTGTTAAAAACACGTTATTGAGTTGTAATATAAAATTAAAGTCCTTTACCGCAAGTAAAAAATATTGTGATAAAATTTTGCAATAACTATTTCTCTATTTAAAGCATTCTAATTAATATTAGGAATCAGAATTGTTTTATTTTTAGACAATAGTACTTGTAATTCAGTTTCAGCTACATAAATTAGATGTTTGATAAATTGTCCAATAAGAACAGTAAAATAAATAGTCAATTGATACCTATAAAACGAGTGTTACCTAACTAAATAAATTATTTGTACCTATTATTAAATTTTATTTAGTTATAATTTAACTAAATTATTTACAAAATCTATATGTATTACCTAATTAATTGTGATAAGTTCTTGTAAATTTTAAATATTAGTACTTAACTTAATTGCTACATTTAAACATACCATTTTAAATTTACATTGTTATAAAGTTAATATGAATTAAAATATGATAAGTTTCTTTTTATTTATATTTTTAAATTATTTTATGGTTGTAACTTAAATCATTCCATGTGTGTTGTACACATATCAATGTGACCTAAATGTAAATAAAGAGTTTTATGTACATACATATTATTGTTAAATTTGTTACTGGTTTAGAATTTTTGTTACATATATTGTAAACATAACAATATATTCATGTCTAAAACACTTTAATAAATCCATTTTTATAAATATTTTTTTAAATTTGATCCTTCTTGAAAAGTACAAGCCCTTGCTTCTTTCGCTAATAATGTGAAATATATTAGGTATGCCGGTATACCTTTCTTAGAAGCCCGTCACATAATATATGGTCTCAAACACCTTATTAACTTAATTTTTATACATAATTAAGGAGAATGGAAACCTTTTCAAATCAAATTGTCTAATATAAAATGTATGTGTTTATTGAAAATATTTACAAAAGTTAAATTTTGGTTATTTATAATAAATTACATGGATGCATTTTTAATTATTAAATACGATTATTGGCACATTGCAGGCCTGCTTACACTTAATCCTATCATTATCCATTACTTAAACATTTTGAAAATTATGGTATAATGTTTTTAAAAAACTTATCTAACTATAAGCATGATTTATTAGGAAAACAATCATATTTACAAAAGTAAAACCCCTAATTAAAATTAACACAAAATTATATGTCGTAAAAAATAAATAATTTAATTTTTATTACTGAGACTTTTATAAAATTGATTGTTATTTAAAAACAAAGACGATTGCGTACACGTAGAATATTTTCTGTAGCTTTCTGATAGTTAAGTCTTTATTTGTCTAGATTAAACTATTTATCCTTGTGGATAATCTCACAGCACTTACATTTAAACAAAACTAACAATAGTAGGTAGTGAAAATGCTATGTTCTCAAAACATCACTCGTTTCTCAGCCTTAGTGGTTCGTGGTTCCTGGTTGTCTGACGCCCAACCTCCTCCTTCCAGCTAGCAGTTTGTTGAGTCCTCTTGGTTCCTCGGTGGTAGAACTGGCTGGTTCCAGTTTTTCCTCAGCTGAAGTCTCTTCAACAGGTTGGGTCTCCTCGGTGGCGGACACTTCCTGAGGAGCCTCGCTTGAAGTAGCTTCGGTGGTTTGACCTGGACGTCTTCTGCCTAGAAGAGGATTGACTCTGCGAACCTGAACTGGAGCGCTGGCTGCAGCTTTAGGACGAGCTTGCACGTTTATTGGTTTTCTGCTCTTAAGACGGTGGAGGGAACCGCCTTCAACTGGGGCTGGTGCGTCATTTTCTTTCTCTAGGTGTTCTTCAGGTGCGCTGGCGGGTACTTCGTCTCCAGCAACATGGTCTTCAGTTGGTGCTTCGGTGGTGGAAACGTGAGCGGCGCCCCTTCTTCCAGAGAGGTTGATTCTTGGTCCAGGTCTCAGAGGTCTTACGGAGTTTCCGGTTGAGATTCTTCTGCTTCTGACAGTGGTAGATACTGTTTCAGATGCGCTTGATTCGTGAGCTTCTTCGTTTCCAGTTTCTCCTTCAGCGGCAGCTGGTGCGGCTGTGGTGCGACCTCTTGGCCTAAGATTGAATGATGGGCGGCTTCTTGAGCGGGTTGTGGTGGATGTGGTGCTGCTAGCAGCTGATTCTTCGTTGTTTTCGGCTGGAGCGGCAGTAGTACGACCACGTGGTCTTGAAGCGCCGAATCTGCCTCTGCTCAAAGTTGGCTATAACAACAAAATACATTAGAAATAATGCTAAATTTAAAAGTTTTGTTTGCTTACTCTTGTTTGGCTAACTGGTTTGGATTCTTCCTTTGTAGCATCAGCTTCAACGCTTGGTTCTGGAGTGGTCTTAGTGTTCAATCTGCCTCTATTAAAACCAGGTCTTCCGAATTTTTTGGGTTTTTCTGAGGCTGGAGCAGCTTCTGTGGATGGAGTCTGCGTTGTTCTTCTGCCAGTACCAATACGGGGCCTGTATCTACCCTTACCAGTTGGTGCTTCAGAAGTGGTAGTAGTAGAGGTGGTTGTAGTTGGAGCTGGAGTTGTAGTCGTGGTGGTCGTAGTGGTTGTAGTAGTAGTAGTAGGAGTTTCCACAGTTTCTAAAAAAGAAAACAAAATAAAGTTAACAAAACTTGGTTTAAATAGAAAAGTATATTTACCTGTTTTAGCTAACTCAGTTGTGACTCCATCCTCACCGCTGGTGGAGTCGGTTTCCTCAGTACTGGCTTCATCATCTCCGGAAAGTTTTTGAGTACCTTGGACTACAGCGTACAAATCCAAGGCGACCTTGTCCATGGCAGACATGACGGTGGTACCTTCAGCATCAGCGGTAATTCCCGTTGGTTCATTAGCTGGCTCGTTTACTGGAGCTGGTTCTTGTGGCTTAGGTTTATCTTCTGCTGGGGAAGAACCCTACAACAATTCAAATATTTTAGTAAAGGCAATCGTGCATTTATTTTTTTAAAGGAAATATTAATTTTGAACCATGCTGTTAAAAGATTCACAGGTAGTCTTTTGCCATGGTCTGAATAATAGTCTTTGTGGGGGTAATTTTTTGCTTTGTCAATATTCAAAATATCTTGTCTGGTCTAGTTAGTATTGCCCATGCAGAACAAAGAAAAAATATAGAAATAAGAGCAGTGCAGGAGAGCCAGGTGCGATCATAGAAAATAGACAGATCATTCCATATGAAAACTTATTTACTGGCAAGTCCATGCGCTCGTTGGGCGTAGCCCCCAGGAAACGTACCGGTCCAGCAGGGAGTTCGGTGGGGAAAGAGGGTCCTCCTGAGGGTTCGGCACCGGCTGTGTTTGTATGTGTGTTGAACGTTGCGTTGTCTACAAGTTCCAAAGATGGTCGTCTTACGTTAGCGCGTGTGCGTCCGCGCGAACCCTACAAACAAACACATTAGTTTTTGTCCTTGTCCTTGGTCAAGTTTATTCGTCTTTAGTCAATGGAAATAGGAAAAGGATTCTATTGAAATATAAAAAATGATATGTGATATTTTTTTGGGCAACGAATATTTTTGAAATTTGGATTACAAATTAATTTGGTGACACATATATAAAAAAATGCATGAGACAGGTTTAGATAAATTTAAAAAATTATATTAAAAAAACCGAATTTAAACCTAAACAGCAGAAATGCTTGTTATAATAGTAATAATAGTATTATTATTATTATTATTGTTTTTATTATTATTATTATTAATATTGATTATTTTTTGATCCAACATTTATAATTATATTAATATTTATTAATCGCATCTTTGGGTTTTTGATAATATGACCAAAAAAACGATGATCAACGATAAATTCTTTAAAAGAAATCCGCCTCACTTTCTATTAAAATGATTTTTAAATATCGTTATAGAATCTATATGATAAATTATTAATCAATTACAATTTAAAAACATAAACCATAAAAATGTCTTTAAATATATTTGTTTTTACTGACCTGGGTTTCATCGGAAACATTGTCCTCGCTGACAGGGTCCTCTGTGGATGGCCTCCCTCTTCCGCGTCCTCTAGTGGTTACTTTGGGTTCCTCTTCCGGCAAAGGTGTGGTGTTAAGGTTCCTACTTCTAGGTGGAAAGCGGGTGTTGGCGGGCAAACGTTCCTCATTGACGGTCTCTTCTTCGCCAAGTTGACGACCTCTGTTACGTTGACGGGAGGCGGCAGGAAGTACTTCGTTGGCTTCTGGTTCTACAGACTTTTCCACGCTGGTCTTTTCACCGCGAGATTTATCGCTGCGGGATACGGAGTTTCTTGCTGGACCGTCGTGAGAATTTGTTACCTAGGAAATAATCTTTATTAAAAAAAAACTCAATCGAAAAACTATTTCTTGTTCGGCAAACGATGAATTAAATTCCTGCTAAATTTATGACGATTCTTTAAAGAGGATAAAACAATTCAAAATGGATTTTGAAGGAGAAGAGTAGTACTTTTAGATTGCTTAACTAGTTTTGTGAAGAAAAATTGTCTCGGAATATTACTTATCCACAAAGATGACCAAAAAATCTTATGTAATGAATTTGTATTCGGATTCAACGCGTCGAAAACCTTCGAAAAAGTTTAATATATAATAGCTTGAAAAATTATTTGAATATGTAAAAGTATTGTGACTTATTATTCTTTTACATCTTGCAATGCATTGAATTGCCTATTAATAAATCTATCATACATTAATTAATCGCTGTATAAGGAAGTATTTTAACAGTCCACCCACCATACTAAATAAACTTTAGATAATGACACTATTAAATAAGATTTTTGATTTTGGGTGTTGTAAGGCATTGTCTTTAAAGAAGGGAGTGGTAAAGTTACTTAATGTAAGAAATTGTGTTTTCAAGATTTTTAACACTTTTTATATTTTTTAGGTTTAAACATGTTTAAAGCTTATATATTAAGTAACCACCTACATTGTTTTAATATTGATTTATGCCTTATAATCGCTTTAACAATTTGTAGTTATAGGTAGTATATATACTGTTTATTGAATTCAACATTTGTTAAACCCACGTAAAATATTTTAGTTAATTATACTACTTTCCATTTTAGAAACTTCTAATTATCAGAGATTGATATCTAATCATCCTTTTAAGCACACTGACTGACAAGTATTGCAAGTACCTAACCAATTTAAATTAAGTAAGATTTTTACTAGATGATATTGCTAAGTTTTATTAAACCAAAGTTAACTAAAGATATAAAAGTTACACAAATTAATTAAATTTGTTCTTACCTTCTTGTTGTCTTTCGCATCTGGCTCATCATCATCATAGTAGTAATAAACGTATTCGTATTCATAATCTTGTCCATTGGGCCCCTTCTTTATCACCTTTCTGGTTCTTTGTTTCTCGCTACCAGCGGCTTCCAATTGAATATCGTCGATATCGATAGATCTGGCTACAGCAGCTCCAGTAGTCAAAACAGGTCTAGGGCTGGTGGCAATCAAAGGAGCATCCTCGTTTCTCGCCTCCTTCTTGATTCTCTTGTTACCTGCACGCCTCCTCGTAGTGGTGGACTTGGGTTTGGCGGTTGTTGATGTTGGAGTGGACTTGGTGGTCTGAATTTTGTCCTTGTACATCTCCAAAAGCTTTCTGACGTCCAACTTGATGGCGCCAGCTGGAGCCGGTGCCACTCCACCGGGACTAGCTTCCCTCTTGATGACTTTTTTGCCCTTTACGGGTTTAACTTCCGACTCATCATCTTCTTCTTGGTTCAAGGCGAAGGACAAAGATGATGGCACTTTGTGCGAGGTTTCAAAGGGTCTTGCTTGATCGATATTTTTGTCTTTTCTTTCGATGGGACGCGCGCCGGAAGCTGATGATTGAACAAACACGTATTCCTGGCCGGGTTCCGGTTGGGTTATTATCTCCGCTTCCGGTTTCGGCAAGGCGGACGCTAGTGCGATGGATGCCAACAACAAACTGATAAAAAAAAGAAGTTGTTGGTTAATAATAGACAAAATCGGTTTTTCAATATCTTGTTTATAATTATTATTTGTGTATTTTTAGGATTTGTTTTTTTTTGGCTTCCTCAAAGACCAAAATATGAAAACAAAGTGGATGTTAAGAGTCCAAATTTAATTAGTTTTTCTAATGAAAGTTTTTAAAGGTTTTAAAACCTAAAACCTGAACTGTTTAGTCAAAAAACTTGTCCATTGGATGGGATCCAATGATAACAAAGTGAAAGCAAGTTTTGTCTTAAGAATGTGCTGTGACGTGAGAAAAGGCACCTTGATAATGTTATGTTTTACAAAGAAATATTTTATAATATAAAAGTGCAATTTATTTCAGATCTATTATTTTGTTATTATTGTTAACATTTTGTATTATAGGCAAATATGAAAATTACAAGCAGAACAACGCAATTTGATTTAAAGTTAAGCTTTTACAGTTTTAAAGTCTCATAAATTAGATAGAATGCCAATCAAGTGTTAAATCAGATTAGCTTAAGATTTGATAGGCATATTAAGCATTGGCGGATTGGGGATTTTGTTTATACCAATATCTCACTTATTAGACGTGGGACCCACTCCAAATTTATAATAGTTTATATTGACATTAAATAGACAAGTTCTGCGCAAACAGAATTTAAATTAAAGTTTGCGAAAAATAGTTAGTTTTTTGTGTCGCCTCACCTGGCTTCTGGCCCCCCCATTTGGGATAATTCAAATTAAAGTGGTGCAATTTATACTCCACTATAATTTATCGACAAATTAAAAATTTTATTTAAAAAATATAAATATTACAGATTTTATACGACTTTAAATTTTTATTATTTATTTTAAAATCTGTAATATTTGGATTTTTCAAATAAAATTTTAAATTTACCGATAAATTATAGTGAAGTATAAATTGCACAACTTTAATTTGAATTATCTCAAATGGGGGGGCCAGAAGCCAGGTGGGGCGACACAAAAAACTAACTTTTTTTCGCAAACTTCAATTTAAATTCTGTTTTCGCCGAACTTGTCTATTTAATGTCATAATAAACTATTATAAATTTGGTGTGGGTCCCATGTCTAATAACTGAGATATTGGTATACCCAAAATCCCCAATCCGCCACTGATACACAGAAAAAACGCTAGCATAGCATGAATGGGTGAGACATTAAACCAATGGGATCTTGTAATCCGTATTCCTGAATAACAGTTCCTATAATACCAATAGGTAGTTAGCACTTGGTTTATAATCGTTTACTGTTTTTAAATTAACAACAAAAGTTATTGCTCCTAAATCTATTGATATTCATATTGATATTTATTTGTTAGAATGGTAGAATGTTATTGCATTAAATACTAATTTGATTTATTTAATAACGTTACTATTGTATGTATAATATGTATACATTTAACGCAATAAATTCTTTGACATTTAGGCAAAATATTTCCCTATTTTGGTTTAATAGTAATTAATTGAGCAAATAACAATTTAGATTGCTTCAATTTTAATGCATTCAATGACAGCGCTGTTCTTGGTACTATGTTAGATTTTTTTCTGTCTATTAAGTAACGACATGAAATAATTATTATAAACGTTTCTCTTTTAAAAAACTTAATAAGTTATTATATTATATTATTGTATTATGATTATTACGAAGGAAATAATAAATATTTTTAGAGGTCGTAACCTGTTGGTGATTAATGACTTTCTAGACGATTTACTTAGAAGTATAAGTATAAATTTCTTTATGCTTAAGGTTATTTCGTGATATAATGAGCGTTCTTTGAATCAACAATGGATTTACAATTAATGTTAGGTAAGGCAATAGTTAATGTTAATGACCTTTTTTATATTACAAAAATCGTTAACTTAAATGTTTCTACACTTGCATTTTTGTATTTTGTAATCGTTATTAAAATCAGAAAGGTGTACCTAGGTCCTAATTATAATAAGCTTTAAATGATATAATATTAAATAGATTTATAATTATTAGTTTAATTAGTCTTTGGTATTTCAATGTCATTTACATTGATTACTTTGTATATAAAATAAAAATTAATAGGTTTAATTGAAGGAAAAAATCATTACATTTTGGTTATATCCATCCGGGTGTAGATGGGCAATATCAAATTGAAATCAATCTGTTAAAAAACAAAAATCAACAATAATTCTAATTTAAATATAGAATATAAAATGTTCCTATATAATAAATATAATAATTTCTAAATTAAATTACAAAACATTTGCACCTTTTTTTAATAAAAAATTACCAAAAGAAGTGAATTTTAAAATGCAAAATTAAATTTTCTGTTGGCTGCAAGGTGGCCGACCACTTTTTAAAGGGTAATTTGGGCGCGCTCATTCCATGACCATCATTTTGATCAATTAGCTCTTATTTTTGCGATATTATGAAATAACCGTTTTTTGGATATAGAAAATTCAAATTCATATACACGGTGTCCAAAGTTATCTGCTTATTGCTTGTCAGCAATCTATTATTTATTGGAACTACAAAGTCGGTTAAATTAGCAAATTGGTGACATTTATTATTCAAAATAAAATGGTAAAAACATAAAAACAATTGAGGAGCATCCGTGCAAAACCGGCTAAATCCATTTTATTCAGTTTTTGGTTTTTTTTCTGATTTCGCATCCTTGGGTTTCTTCTATCGACAACTAAGATAATTCTGTTTATATCCGACTATATCCATGTTAAAATCACATTTAAAAGGTAGCTTTAGGAGCAAAACCGGCCAAATCCACGTATTTATAGCAAACCCGGCTATATCCAATAAATAATAATGATGATGAGCATGTGGCTTGGATATGTCGATACTATAGTATAGTAAAAAACAGAACAAATTTTAGTAGTATACTACTAAAATTTGTTCTGTTTTTTCATGTTTGGACTAAATTTATTTTGTTAATATTTTTGAATAATAAAGGTTTTTTTCACATTTTATTCGGTTTTTGAGCAAAACCGGCTATATACAAAACATTTTTTGAAATTTTGGCCTTAATATAAAGTTTTTGAAAACGAAAGTATGTCTTATAAATCAAGTACCACAAAGCCCACAAAACTCAAGTTTGCTTTTTCTTTTATCTGTAAAGGCCAGGAAACCGAGAGTTTTTGCCATTTTCCCAACATTTTATTAAAGTGGACATAGCCGGTTTTCCACGGATGCTTCTCAATTGTACGTCGAGTTTCCGAAAAATTCACAAAAATAAAAAATTTCTAAATGGGTCACCCTGTATATTTTTACATGTTTTAAAAGACAATTTAATTTGGAAAATTGATTTTATTTCGTTAAAAACATGAACTTGGTTAAAATTTTAATTAAAAAATTTTAATTAAAAAAATATATATGCGAATTTCTTAAAAACAAAAGGTGGTAGACCAAAATGATTAAGCCCCAAATTACCCGTGAAAAATTCATGTTTACCCTGCAGCAGAATGGCTGTTGACCAGTGTTATAGTTTAGATGATGGATTATAGTGTAGAATCAAAGGCTCGTAAGTCTTTTTGGATAAACCGGCCTTGGGGGATATTAAAAATGCAAAAAAATAAATAAAAAGGCAAAAAAAGTTATGAAAAGTTAAAAAAAAAATTACAAAAGTAGTTTTTGTCGAGTGCTTAATTTAGATAAAATATTCCTCCCCCTGTATATCATTTCTTCCCTAGCAATACCTACCTGTTATGTGGTAAAGAATAAGTAAATTTTTATTTATATGGTATACCATTTAAGACCCTACAGTGTGATTGATACGTATAATTCAAGTAGGTAATTATTTCAACAATATTTTTTAATGAATGTCAACCAAAATATATTGTAATATAAAATCTAAAAATAAATACAAAGTAAAATTCTTTATAATTCCTGTATATTTTGTGACATAATTGCGAATAAAACAAAATAAAATACAACAATAGAATATATTCCTGTTTCGCACATTAACGTATATCGTATGTTATGTTATAATTAACGTTCTAGTGCGTAGGATTGTTATAATTTAGTAATTTCTCGATGTTGTAATAAAGCCACGCTATTACTCCATCTACGAGAGTTAATTCAATACAAGTTATAAATAACAAATCGCCGCAAAATGTCGCACTTTTCTAGTCCAGTTGCTGCTAAGAATTTGCGCCCTTTCCGCGTGCCGAACGAAATAATTTTCTAATCTAATCGAAAAATTGAATAAACAACGTAAATGATAATGCTTTCAACGCTCTGGTAAATTTGCTCTCCGTGTTATCCATAAATGAAAATAATAGCGAATTTACATCAGTTTTCTCCATCGCCGTGTTTAGATTGGTTAATTGCACTTTTTCCATTCGAAATGGAAATTAAACGCGAAAAAGGTATAATGGCCTGGTTTTAATTCTTCGCTTATTTGTTACAATTTTTTACTCGTGATAAAATGTTAATTTTATACTTGTTTTTAAAGGACGTCCACTTTTTTCAAAAATTGCGCCAAGTAGGTTCTTATAAAAATGTCTTACTAAAGATGGATAAGTGGTTTGGTTTGGTTAAATTTATTTGATTGAGAAAATTGTTTTTCTTAAAAAAACACAAAATTAATTTATTTCCTAACATAAACGATCTATCGTAGAAAAAAAGTTGGTAAGTAGTGTTTTTTTCGAGATAAACATCTTTCTTAATTACAGTGTTGCATTAAAAAAATATTTGCGATGTAAACGCCATTTTGGGTACTTTTTTAAAATTTTCTTCCTAAAGCTTTAATTTTTTTCTAAAACAGCCTTTTTCCGACAGATTGAGTGTACTACTTAAGAAGATTATATTCTAATATAATCTTCTTAGTACTACTATAACAGTCTTTGGAATGTAAAATTCAGACAGATTTAAGGTAGTATCTCCATGTGAAGTGTGATAAATAAATTGCAGTAGGCCGTGACAGCAAATTCAGCGGTGCCAATGTAGTAAAAATAAAACTTTGTATTAAAAAAATACTTTATCACAAAT